AATAAGTGAAATGTAAACAATGGTTACAAAACAAAAATTTGACTGCCTATATTTTAAAATTAAAAAATTATTCTCAAATATTAAGAATTAGATTAATTTCTTTTCATCTTTGTATTTAATATCTTTAAAATTGGTCAGGTACCAATTTTCAATACTATTTCTCCACTAGAACTGAATCTATTCACTCAATAATTATTATTATAAATTCCATAATGGAGAATAGAGGCTACAAAAATATTTCTTTTGTCTTAATTTTGAAATGGCATATCTCTATAATACTTTAAGAAACCAAAACCATTTTATATATAAAGATAGCCAAGGGTCATCTACATCATTTGAAAAAAATTGAATCCATGAGACTTGGGCAACTCTGGGAGTTAATAAAAGCGCAACCCTTGGTAAAAAAACAAAAAAAATTGACTAACTATTTTAAAATCAAAAAGTAACCATCAAAAAATTTAAACTTCACTATTTTCTCTACATTTTTGATTTTAGCACCCTCAAAAGGTGTCCATTTTTAGCCACAGATAGGTACTCATTTTTAGCCACATTGATCCACAAAATCTTAAATTATTTATTAAATAGTACAACTTTTTAGGCTAAAAAACTACAAAATCCATAATGGCGGACTTGAAAAAAAATGGAACGTTTTAGGCTGAATGTCAAAGTGTCATAACCCTTTGTATTTGGGAGCTCAAATTTTACAATTTTTATTTTTCATTGTTATGTACCACTGGGTAAAATTTAAAGAAAATCAGAGAGGTGACTGAAACGACAGTCCCAGTTTAAAATGGAGTTACCCTAAGAAATTAGGGCTGCCATAGAAAACAAGTCACAAAGTTGACCATCTGAGCAAGAGATTAAGAAATTAAAAAAGTTATGAGCTTTAGAGCCAATAAGGTCAATACAATAACAACAATATTGACTAAAAACAACAACAATAACAATAATATTGTCTAATAACAACAACAATATTGACTAAGGAAAAATAAGAGTTCAATTTGGTAAGAAACAACATCAAAAATAGTGCACTCTCAGGAAGAAGGAAAATGATAATAAAAAAAAATAATGAAACAGGGATTTAGCAAAGAGGTGAATTGAATGAAATTGGAGACCAAAAAAGATATGCAAGCGATAGAATATAATATAATATAAATAAAAGAATAGTTAGAGGATTCAAACTTGAATTAGTGATAAATAATTCAATTGGTATTTAGAACTCTAATTTAGATTTATTGTAATGATTTACCAGAAATCATTAAAAGTATAATTATTTTCATGATTATTTTTAACTAAAAAATTTATTCGTTCAACTTTTGTTGATGTTAATAAAATTAAAATTTTTATATAATATATTATTGAAATCAACAATTTTAAGTTTAAAATAACCTTTTTTATGATTATTTCTAATTTAATAAATTCTTTTTTAATTTTTTTTATTTCTAAAAGTTTTTATTTGTTAGCTCATAAAAGGATTACAAATCAAAATATGGTATTTACTTACTATAAAAATAATTTAAAATAAAATAAAAATAACCATTCTACATAACATATATCCTATCTTAAAAAATGCAATAAAGACAGATTGGAGGCCTGGTAACATTGGAAACATTTAGTTTTTATATTTTTCTTTTTTACTTTTTTTTTCAATAGATACTTTACAAAAGTGTTTTGGTGTAAAATTTAGAGGTTTTTTGAGGATTTTCAAAAATAATCAAACTAATTGTAATAAAAAAATATATTTGGATTTTAGAAATTACTTATTTTAAAAACTTCCATTATAAAATAAATCAGAAGTTTAAATAAAACATTTTCTATGTAAAATATTTAATGATCTGAAAAACTAAATACAAGTTTCAAATAAGAAACCAGAGGTTATTTATGCCTTATTTTTTTTTAAGATATTGAAGTTTTTTTTTTTTGCCACAACCAGCGAATCATAATTATTTCTATAATTCTTTATTAAATGCCAAAAAAATTTTGTGAAATAAAAATAAAATATTACATTCGGTTTTTAGATTTTGCAAATTGTTTTTAACAATTGTAAGTATAAATATATAAATATATTTTTATATTAAAAAGTTAGCATTCTTTCACATCTTAACAAAATACATATTATCTGTGTAAGAAAATATTATATCAAATTTATTTTTTATTTATAAATCAGAAAAATTTTTTTCGTTATGAAAATTTTTTTTTGACAAATTTCTCTGGTTATACTGACTTGCTTCACCTACAGAGTAAAGAAAAAAGAAAAAACACTTAGAGTTTAGGGTAAATAAAAAAAAAAAAAAAGAAATGTTTAAAAAGATTACAGAGCAGAAAAAAAAGAAAAATCACTCAGAAAGTGGAGGAAAGAATAAGAAAAAATAAGGATGAAAAAAAAATAAATGGATAAATTTAAGGTCAGCTATTTTATTGTGAATTAATATCCAAGTTTTTGAAAAACTCAAAACCACCTAGTGAAGCAACTAATCATTGAAGCAACCATTTTTATGTTAAAATACTTTGGTTGTTAAAGAACTTTTCTTATTGCAATGTAAAAAAGATTTTGAAACTAGTTTTTTATTCTTTAATAAATGCAGATAAATATACTTTTAAAATTATATCTTAAAGCAATTGAGAATCCTGAACAATTTAAAATCTAGAACAATTGAAAATCCTGAACAATTGAGAATCCTGAACAACTAAGAATCCTGAAAAACTGAGAATCCTGAACAATTGAGAATCCTGAACAACTGAGAATCCTGAACAACTGAGAATCCTGAACAACTGAGAATCCTGAACAATTGAGAATCCTGAAGAATTGAAAATCCTGAATAATTAAAAATCCAGTACAATTAAGAATCCTAAACTAGATTTCAATCTGATAAAAAAAAAAAAGCAGAGATGATAATGCATACAATCTACATACTATCTAACTCTTTTTTTATTCACGCATTTAAAACTTAAGTCCATAAAACTTAGAACCACTTTAGCAAAAAGTTTGTAAATACAAAAATTTTATTATTAAAAATTTTTATATAGATTTATAATTTTATAAAAAATTATAAATCTAAAAAAGTTGGAATAATTTTTTGATAAAAAACTCATTTCCCATACATCCCTAATGTATGGGTATATATATATATATATATATATATATATATATATATATATATATATATATATATATATATATATATATATATATATATATATATATATATATATATATATATATATATATATATATATATATATATATAAATATATATATATATATATATATATATATATATATATTCAGTAATGCATATATTATATGCAATATTTCACATTTATATAATTTTTATATTTCATAACATATTTAAAATTTGACATAAATACAAAGACTTAAAAAGATTCGTTTAATGAAAAAATAATTTTTATTAAACAACTAATAAAAAAGAGAGTGTCAATTGTACAACCAAATCATTTTTAAATTGCAAAACACTACAAAAAAAACTCAAATTAAAATTTAAATTCACATAAAAATATGAGTCCGCAGTTTGAAATATTTGGGTTTCTTACAAATTATGGTACCAGACAATGCACCATAATGGATATATCATTTAATTCAGTTATCTATTATATCAGCTATCTGTTTTGTCAAACTTTATGTAGCAACTTGAAAAAGTTTCAAAGCGTTTATTAAAATAACTTATCATCCATAATTTATTGGGAGAGTTTTGTAGGGTTTGGGAAAACCCGGCATTTTTAGACCCAATGAGCCTGAGTCGAGCCTATGAATATTTATAGGGTTCAAGATCAGGTCCGGGTCTAATACGTCTTTTTGTCTTGCAACTTTAACAAAAGAATGATTGGATTTTTGGTGTTCCCACCAATTGAAAAAATTTTTCGGTAAATAAAACAACTTTTTGTTTCAAAGCCTAACTTAAATATACTAATAAATAATTATACTTATGTTAAACTACCAAATAGACTTGACAGTACTTTAAAAAAATATATAATATAAATTAAATATTTATAAGTGTTTAATATACAATAATTTATTAAGTTTTTCCTCTAGTGTTGATGCTAATGCGTTTCCTGTATTATTTTCCTTATTTTGAGTTGAATGTCCGTGTTCATAATGTGTATTTTGTTGTTCTTCATTTCTATCAAATAATCGCTTCAATAAATCTGTAAATTTTTGTATTTTCTTTGGCATAGTACCATTTACAGGAGAATCTAATAGCTCTTCTAAATCTTGGTTTTAATGGCAATTTATTTGAGTTATTTATTGTCATTAATAGCTCTCTACTTAAATTACCATTATATTCTTTTAACTTTCTTATCATAAAATCAATTGCTCATTGGAATGTTGCAAGATTAGCATCGTTTCTGCTAAGAGCTTTAACAGTTAGTTTAAAAGGCTTTAGCCTATTGTCAACTCATGTTTAATATTAATATTTTCTATTAAGTGCACACTTCCAATACCTTAAGGAGCTTCTTCAATGATGATTGAAAAAACAATGAAAATTGTTTAAAAATACATTAGTGAATAATATAATTTATATTTTGATTATATAATGCCTCTTTCTGGATTAGGTTTACAAAACAATTTTTTAATTGATAATTTTGACCCAACGGTCAATTTTATTAAATTTTTTGACTGTGGGCCTCCCTAATAAAAATATAAATACAGCCCTATCTAAGCATGCTATTAGGTATCAGATACAGCTGCCTAGAAACGTTAGGGGTTCACAAAACAACTCACAGCATATAAAACAAGGCCATAAGTTTAAATCACGAGACTCGCCAAGTCTTAGACAGGGTATCAGTTCCGGGTGATTAGCTACAGACTCGCCGAGTCTGAGTACGGGTACCCAGAACCAAAAAACCTTAGAGTTTTGAAAAACCTTATCTCCGAAATAATGCAAGATAAAAGATTATCACAATTAATATAGGAGATAAAAGATTATTAGAATTAACATGGAACAATATCAATAAAAATATTAATTATAAAAAGTACTTACCAATAAGTTTATAACTGTTGAAACATTAAGTAAGGTTTCCTCATTGTTTCATCTTAATAGTCCATTCACATTTACAAGAAATATGCTGATAACATCTGCATTAGCTGAAATCATCCACTCGATTAGCTGATTCTTACATACTTCAATGTCAAATAGTGTTTCAATAACATATGCAGCAGATCCTGAAAAACTGTATAACTATATAACTATATAACGTTACTTATTATTAATTATTTCAAACAACTTGTACATGAAACAGGCACTAGGTCCTTAGATAAAATTTTAAAAAATAAAGAAAGAAAAGTATAAAACAACTTAATGTTAAGTTACTATCAATATTCATATTTACTCTCAATATATAAATTTTCAAAATGCGGTATGTAAATTTTTGATTTATGAGGTTTTTACAAAAAAATAAGAAAGCTAAAAATAATGAAATAAATGATTATTGCAACAAACATTTATTTCATTAATTTTATATCATTGCAACTTTTTCATTTTATTGGAATACCTTGCATGTTTTCCATATGGAGTAATGTGTCTTTGTGTTAAAATTGTTAATCTGTAATAATATAAATAACTATTGGCATAATCTTCTTATATTGCAGATGGACACATATTAAACTATTTCTTTTCATCTTGCCATAAACCAAAGCAGAAACTGCTGTAACCATCTTTACACAATGCTTTACAACTCGCATGTGACAGTAACTTTTCCAAAAAATCCACAATGCTGTTTTACTTCTCTCAATATTTTTTTTTAGATTGTTTAGGTACTCCTGAAAAGTCCTTACGGTCTTATCACAGAGCACCGCAGAAGAGCATTTAACTAGAAGTTCACGCCTCCTTCCTTACCTTACACTTATTGGGCTAGAGCTGGAATCAAACCTCGGACCTCTGGGTTCTGAGTTAGAACTCTAACCACTGTGCCACGGCTGTTCTTTTGCTCATCAGTAATCATGATCATCATGGCCTTCTGTGAATTACTCCAATTAATTTACTGCTATGTATTATTTGCAATTAAATTTAGACTAGAAGCTTTGAACTACCCCACAATTAGTTTACTTCTTTACTTTTATCTTGTCTAGCTCTCTGTCTGTCTGCTCTCTCAAAAAATGCATTTGTTAGAAAACTTCGTCTATTACCAAATACTGGTACTGTGATTTGACCATGAAAGATAGAGGATATCTTCTTTATGTGGGATTTATGTGGGATTGCTCGTAGAAACATATAAACTAAGGATCCAGCTGGCAATGAAGACCTACCAAGAATAAACCAGTTTTTCAGGGCTGCACTTCTCCATATTGGTAAAACATGTGCCAATTTGCCCGCTCTGGTGTTTCTAGATTATGGTTTATAACATAAAATCAACAACATTTAAGACCTCATAAGTCTGAAGATACTTTCCAAAAGACCCATGATAACATCTAACTCCACAAACAAATGGTAATGGAAGCTCATTTGCATGTAGAAAACAAATAACCTAATGTAGAGTCAGTTTAAAATTTGTCAAGCAATCTTATAACATTACCCTTACTTCCAGTGTTTACATAAGTTCCATCAAAACCCAGCACTTGCAAAATAGAAAATGATTTAAAAACCTTGGCATATAAAAGCCAAATGAGTGGTTAAAAATTTGTTTTGGATGATTTAACAATGATATAAAAATGATGTACGATGCAAAAAATAGTCTAAAAATAAAGTTTTCTCTACAGTCTCTGAGATTACAAAAAACAGAAGTTTTCTCTACAGACAATTACGAATTAACGTAATTATGAGACCATAACATAATAACAACAAAAAAATATACACCAACAAAACATGTCAAAAGACACTAGTTTAAAAGAATCTCTCATATATAATATGAATCCTAAAATGAAAATGTATATATATTTACATATATAAATATATATATATATATATATATATATATATATATATATATATATATATATATATATATATATATATATATATATATATATATATATATATATATATATATATAACTTGAAATATGTTTATAACCAATAAGTAAAAAAGTTAGTCAACAAAATAAACAATAAACAAAATATTTTCTTTTAATTTTACAAAAATTACTCTAATTATAAATTTTAGCACTAAAAGCCTTTCAAATAATCATCAGTAGTGCTGTTTTTAAACAGCACTACCGATGATTTTTTGAAATATATATATATATATATCCTAAAATAAAAACTAAATCACAAATGATAACCACATATGCATAACATACAAATCTATATCTACATTTCAACTACATACTATCTATTAAAAGAAAATATTATTTAAATAAGGATGAGTTCATACTATATTTTATATATTATAAACTATATACTGTAATGCTTAAACATTGATTAATAATCAATAAACAATTTAAAGAAATTAAAACAGAAAGTTTTTTTCTCAACTGTTTGTTTTCAAGAACTAATTTATAGCAGTTTGCTGTTTTCATATGCAGATATGCATCTATATAGAACTGACCAATACCATAGTTCTAAAACTGAACTTTCTTACTTAAGTGAGTTTTTTATTGAATTTCAAAACAAAAAAATGATTAAATTTTATCATGCTTTTATAGCAAATGTTAAGCGCCACAAACGCATGTTTGGAACATAATCAACACATAATCAATTCTGATTAAATTTATTTAATCGGAAACAAACTTAATTAGTTTGTTTTTGATATATTATTATATTATTATATTAAAACAAACTCTATAAAGATAACAATTGTTTTTTTCAATTCGTGATTACTTAACATTTTTAACACCTTTAACCACAATCTAAACTTTATAGGTATACCACACATCTATACTTTACACTTTAAAAAATCAAGACAATCTGGATGAAGACCCTTGTACAATTTTATGTCACATAGGAAAGAAGATTTTTCCATTCGAAGAACAATAGTAGAAAGACAACAGCAAAATACTACTAAAAATTCAAAGTGTTAGTCACAATCTGTTTCTGGGAGATTTAATTAAAGGGAATTGAATTCTCCACATTTATAAATTCAAGTTATACAGGCAAAACTCAAGTGTTGAAGACATGCAATAAATGTGTAAAACAAAATAAATACGACTAATTGAATAATGTTTTTGACACCACAAAAAAAGATGGCAAATGGCTCCGCAGTGAGAACAAAAGATACAAGAAAGGACAAAGGTATACAACTGGGAAGACTGCTAGTTCAAAAACTATCAATTCATCTAACAGCAGAAAAATTTTCTTAAAGCCTACTTTAACAACAGTAACAGCAACAACATCTACTTCTGAATTCAACTCTGAAATATGAAAATGTCGAGAGTCTGAAGATTCAGAAGAACAATCCACAAGTACCAGCAAGAACAATAGAAAAACCAAAACTTCAAACAAATTAGTAACATCTTCATAGTTATTAACCAGCAAAACAGAATTTGCCAACAGAGAATATCAAGTGTTTTGAAAAATAAACAAAAAATAAAAGTCAAAGCACTAGATCTACCCAGAAAAACTGCAGATACTGTTGTTAAAGGTATAACAGCTATTATTTACAAATACAATTTATGGAAGAGTATAAAGATGATTGTAACAAACACTATAAATGTAAACACTAGAAGAAGGAATAGGATTGTCAATCAGTTGTAAAGACATTTTACCTAAAAGAAACTGGAAAAACCACAATTCATTGGCTGTCAACATTATTTTTTTGACCAAGTCCTTGTCATTGTAATGGATGAAGAACTTGGAGAGAACTTTTAAAGAACTATAAACAGCTCAGGAAGAATTTCAAAAATGATACCTGAAACAGCAAGATAGTGTGATGACAAGAAATTTCTATTTCATTTAACTTTAGTATTTTGTTCTTTTAAAGAATCTGGAGAACATCCTAAAGTTAAGTTACAAAAAATACGTAAATTCTTTTGCCAGAGAGAAGAGACTTACAACTTAACATTTGTAGATTGATTTCTTCAGATAGGCGGACCATTTGTTTACTGACCAAATGCACAATGCTGACAATTATTGGAAGCTATGTAGCAGCTTGTACGGTCTCAAAAAAGCGTCAAACTCAGGAAAAGTTTTGCAATCAGGAATCATTGAGACTGGAAAATTTCAAAACAAATACCTGTGCAAAATGAGCAACCAAGTGTCTTTTTTGACATCTATAAAAAGAAGAAGAAAAGAAACCCTTAACTTATTTTTGTCAAACAAAGCATAAGAATTATATATTGCGCTTTAATTAATACTACATAACATTTTTTCGATATATAAATTATTTTTTGTACTAGTAGAATCGTCATTTAAGTTTGTAGTTTTATGTTAATTTATAATTTAGACTGCTATGATATAACAATAAACTGTTGAAGGCTTAAAAACTACATAATAATATGATAAATGATAAATATTTAAATATTTTCATTTAATTATAATAATAAATGTTAATTTAACTAGATGTTTAAGTATGTGTGTGTAAAAAATATTTAATAAAAAATATATATTATAAGAATCACAATTATAACAATCTCTCTTTCAGGTTTTAAATTTTCAACCTGTAAAACGCCTGCCAGACAAAAGAGTAAGGAGACTTGAGAAGTAAGCAGAATATTTCTTTCTAACTCGTCAGTATTTGTTACACAAGTTTTTTTATTATCTCCTAAAGAGGGTACAGGTATAAAACTCATTTTAGTAGTTCTGATGGATTCTGGTAGTAAGGTTTCAAGATTTTTTCATTTATATATATATATATATATATATATATATATATATATATATATATATATATATATATATATATATATATATATACATATATATATATTTATATGTATATATATTATATATATATATATATATATATATATATATATATACATTTATATATAAATATATATATATATATATATATATATATATATATATATATATATATATATATATATATATATATATATTTATATATATATATATATATATATATATATATATATATATTAGGTATGTCCAAAAAAAAAAATTTTTGAATTCAACCTAGCACAGTATCTCATTTTGTTCCTTTGATGGAAACTAACTTTTATGCAAATTTTGGCATTTATATTTTGATATTTACAAGTTGCTCAATGGAGGTGAAGTTTAACAGTACAGATAAACTTGCCGCGGCTGCACTTTTTTGACTGAAATCTTCAAACTAGAATCACAAGATGATAAAATGTGATAGATACATTACTATTCATTTCAAAAAGACATACTGGTTATGACACAGACAGTGCAGACACAATCAGTCACACATTAACAATTTTTAATTTATCAAAATTAATATCAAAGAAATTAACAGCAATTTTTAAACATGTTCGTTCAGATTTTTATTGCATGCTCATTTATTGTTCACGTGTTCAAAGTTCAACTTATTTCAGTTTTCAAGCTTGCGACGTCTACCGAGGGGCATATGCCATCAGGGTGCTTTTCCGGTAATCTGGAATGCGCTTCCTGTTGTCCTCAACAACTTGGAGGAGTTTCTGCATTTCAGACTCTGTCTTTGTTATTGACTGGTTTAAAGAACTCATCAGTGCAATAGAGCGCTCGGCAGTATCATTGATAACCTTGAGAGAAGCAACAACAGCTTTGGTTTTTCGAAATGAAGCACTTTCTTCCCAACTCGGGGGCTCAAGTCCTGACAAGGTAGTTATGTCAAGTCCAAGTGACTGCAATGCAGCTGTTGATGATGATGTTACCAGTTCATGTAGTTGCTTTTTCTCCAACTCATTACATTTTGATACTGGAAACTTGTTTCCCCTGACACTCCAATCATCTCCACTGAGGATCATGGCTTCCGCAATCAACTTCTTTTCTTCATCAGATACTTTGCTGGAGAACAGTGAAAGAGCATGATTTTACCGTCCCAGTGGACCACCAGAGGCGGTTTTTCACTGGAGAGAAACTCCTGCCGAATACAATTTTCTGTTGAAGATCGGTGTTCAATACGTTTGCGACGTACTGTTGATCTTGACAATGGCGTGCTTTGTAGGTCCTGTCCACTGGCTTTAGCAATTGCTGCTGCCAAAATTGTAAACTTCTGGTCAGATAAATTTATGCGATCAAGTGTTGATGAAACATCTGGTGACGACAGAATGTTCTCCAAAATGCGTGGTCTTTTGTTAACTGTAGTCCATTCATGTCCAGCATCCACTACCTCACATAGCTGCTTCTTGTGATATACTGGTATCTCTATTTCGTAATCATCATCTTCAATATCCTCCTCTTCTGCTCCGTCACTGTCGCTTTCAAGACCATGATTGTGATGGCTGCTTCTGGCACTTGCATCTCTCCTTTCTTCCTCACGCTGTTTCCTTTCAGCTTCAGCCTGTCGACGCTGTGCTGCTCGCTCTTCTTGTTGTGATAATCTTACATCTTCTCCACTCATCTTCATCATGCGAGCATTCCGCTGATCCTCCAAAAACAGCTTGTCTTCATCGATTTTGATTAATGTACCTGTATCTTTGTGAGCAATATCAAAGAGTAGATTCAGTTTGTCTTTAAATGCTTTTTCTCTAGCTAGCTGTGATTCACTTTCTCTTCCTTTATTCTTCTTGATCAAACTGTATTCATCAAAGCATACCTTCACCTTTGACACGATATGTGGTTGATAGGTCATTGGTATCCGTGCCTTGCTCCAAATTTTTACCAAATCAGATGAGGTTGACTTTGCACTGGCAGATACTGTCTGTTTTATTGTTTTGTGGTAATGGAAAAATGTACGAAGAACATCGCCCGTTGTCGGAAGGACATTACTCGGTAGGTCCTTTTCAGGTTGACCAATCAGCCAAACAGCAGTTCGAGTGCGTGTCAGTGGTACAGCGTTTGACTTTGCAGCCATTTTCAGCAACAGTCTAAAATTAAGATAGAAGCATTTTAGAATTAATAACAAGATAGGCCTATTAATTCAATAAATTCATATAAAAATGATTTATTAGAATATATTTTATTATTTTTATAATGGATTCGGATTGTCACAAATAAAGTTTGAAACCCTACTAATGGTTCAACACAGCATTAAGCAGGTTGTCTATAGTTCCTACAACTGTTTAATAGAATGATCAAATAAATATGAAATCAGCACAAAGTAAGAAACTAATTGAAACTATTATAATTACCTTTATTAAGAGTTTACATCAATGTATTAAATAAATTCTGTATAAATTCACAAGTTTGCTGAAATAATTCTCATTTGCTACATTGACAATGACATCATCATAGAATATCTAAATTCTAAAAACACTAAATAAATAAGTAATGCAAATGCAATGGTGCTTTACAGTCAGTAACCTTATCATAAAGATTGGTCAAATGGACAGATTATTTTCTGTTGTTACAATTTTATCGCAGACTCGCGGGTAACCCAATGCTGATGCATATTGAAAAACCTTTGGGGCCATTGAGCAACCCCTAAATATTAATTGATTAGGGATCTTTTTGGAAACATGACTAAATATTGAAAAACGAACAAAATGAGCCTATGTAAACTAAAATCGGAAGAAATTTTTTTTCCTCCATGTATATGTGGACATCCCTAATATATATATATATATTTTGTTATTTACCTCCCCCAGGGAGAGATACCCATTACAGTTGAGGAGACAACTTTTTTGTGATTAAAATCTCTTCTCAACTCTTTAATACTAAAACATGAATTTTGACAAAGAAGGCCGCTGTGTATCATCTGAGCGCTCTTTATCATTTAAGCATAACTATGATTGATACATTTCTGTAACAACTTAACATAAATATATTCAAAATAAAAGTTCACATTAACACCATATTATTAAAATCTACGCTTTACAGCTATTTGCTGCTTTCAGATTAAGTTTTTATCTGTTGAATCTAACCTTTTGCAAAATTAATCGGAACCTTTTACCAGACCAGGTATATTATTATCCTTCTTAGTTTATAAGACTTTGAGAGTAATTTAAAAGCAGCTGTTTCAAATTTGATAAAAGATAAAGGTGTTTACTAACTTTGATGAAACAATAAAGAACAAAAAAATAATATTCATCGACAGAGTTGAAATTGTCTTTCAGAAGATTTAAAGACTAATTTAAAAGCAGTTTTTCATTTTTTTATTTAAAGTGTTGATTGTTGATATTTTTGTTTTTTTCTTTATTGTTCTCCTTCTTCTTAAACACGCGCTTAAAAGATGTATTTTCTGATCTAATTGACCAATTCCTTTCACATTATCCCTTTATCGATATTGTTTATTATTACATTTTGCTACTTTTTGGTGAAAAATTAACATAAAAAAATTCCTCAACTTTTATCAAAGTATTTATTTTAAGATAAAATTTTTAAAGTATTTCATGGTTTACTGTGTCAAAAGCATAAATCATTCAAGTATGGTATAACATTCACAAATGCATTTGATATAGTTATATGATATACTTTATTTTTTATTGATATATGTTTTATAATGTTAGCTTTATTAGTTAGGAGACTGGGTAATACAAATATAATTTTTTTGTTTTCTTTAGATACTGGAAAAGAAAAAATTAGTTTTTTGAACATTAAAAACAGTTTTTACTTAAAATTATTTAAAGTTTGTAAAATAAAACTGAAAAAAAAAAATGATTATAATTAGAAAGCTCCACAAGTGAAAACCAAAAAACTTAAAACCACCTAAAAACTTTCTTACCTGCTTAATACCTTTAAAATTTTAATCAATAAAAAAAAGTTCTTAATCAAATGCTGTTGCATTAATTTAATTAAAATAACCAAACAAACTAAAAAAGATGTCAAATTATTTATAGAACTAAGAAATATAGTTCCATTAAGGAGGCTCTTATTCCACACAAAAAAAAAGTATCATTATTTTAGATTTTTCTTAGTTGGTTATGGAACTGTTTTTACAAACAATGAAAGGAAAAAAAAGAAAACATAGAAATTTTAGTTTAATCGACAAACAGTTTGAGAATCACACAAACATTTAAAACATTCTTAAAAAAAATGGCTAAAAAAAATTCTAAATAGACAGATGGAATATGTTTTTAAAAAAGTGCAAAAAAAAAAAAGTGCAAAAAAAGCTTAATATAAAAAAAAAAAATTTAACAAATTTTTATTCTAAGGGCAAACATACATAATGCCTAAATATTTACAAATTAAATTAGGGATAACTCTTACTACTTATATAACTAATATAGAAC